CACCAATTTTAACATCCCCATCTTAAGAGTACTTAAGAAGTTTTCTTGAATGAATATGTATATTGACTTTCTTCTTCTTTCAGCAAGAAAATATTCCAGGGAAATCCTTTGAGGATGATCCCACACGCAACTGCATTTTCAGTTATTTCTGTGCTCTTTCTAAAGTCACAAAACTAACAGCTCCAGGAGCAATCGTAGCATTGGTAAGCTATTTCTTATTTATAAAGCATCTTTAATAACTGGTCTCCTACACAGCGTATGACCGTGTTTCTAAATAAAAGTTCCTAAAGTTATCATCAGATCTTTTAAGAGAAACCTATGCAAACAAAGTAAATACACATATTAGAGTTTAATCATCGTCATGTTTTAAAATGATGCCATTGCTTTTCTTATCACAGAATAATTGCTACTGAAAGCAGCAGGAGAGACTTCTGGTTTCTCCCTCAACAGATTCCAATGTAGGTCTAAGCTGAGTTCCAGGCTGTATTTCCCCACAGTTCTGACCTGGAGCTGCTGCTCTGAATGCTTTGTTGTTCCTGTTGACCTCTTGTGCCTGTTCGGGAAATTGCCCAGGAATGTGGAACTACTAAGACTTGGACGTGGGCTTTGCTAGTTAGCCTGCCAAGCCATAGCTGTGTCCTTACCTCTACATGGTTCTCCCAGAATTCCTGTGGTGAGACTCATTCAGAATATAAAGTCCTGTTCAGATGGCTGGGATGGTTTGACCCTCCCCACACTAACCATGTGGTAGAGGAATGTCAACTACATGGCCTGGAGAGAAAGGATACTTAGAGCAGTACCCTCTCCTTCAGCATCCAGCTAGAGCTTAGGGGTGAAGGCCTCCGCTGGGCACCTGCATAGAAACCTCTCCATGAGCACTGGATCAGATGCAGGCCATTTCATGGAGCTGCAGCCATTGGGAATGCCCAGCACATGCTGGGGGGAAGCAGGAGTGGTACTTCCAGATGGAGAGAGAGAGAGAGCTGAGGCAGGAGGGAAAGCTGGATTGGAAAGAAGGGGGACTTCACTGTATACAGGCTAAATTTGGAGTGCCTGTGAGATAGCAGAGTGACGTGTGCAGTCATTATTTGAATCAACGGAACTGGAACATGAATCTGAGCAGTGCAGTCATCATTTGGATGTATGGGACTGGAGCATGAATCTGAGCTGGCGGTAAGGAATGAAGAGTAAGAGTAGCTGCTCAAGGCGAGGCACAATGGCTTACACCTGTCATCCCAGCTCTTTGGGAGACCAAGTCAGGCCATCACCTGAGGTCAGGAGTTCGAGGTCAGCCTGGCCAACACTGTGAAACCCTGTCTCTTCTAAAAAATACAAAAAATTACCTGAGCATGGTGGTGGACACCTGTAATCCCAGCTACTTGGGAGGCTGAGGCAGGAGAATCTTTGGAACCTGGGAGGCAGAGCTTGCAGTGAGCCAAGATTGCACCACTGCCCTCCACCCTGCACAACAACAGCAACACTTCTGGGGAAAAAAAAGAGAAAAAGAGTAGTTGCTCAAATGCAAAGAAACTGTTTAGAATGAAAGTGGACAAGCCGGACATGGTGGGACACACCTATAGTCACAGCTACTCAGGAAAAGGGAAAAAAGAGAAGATGGACAAAAGATAAGCTCT